GTATTTGAGTGTTTCAATAGATTATCTCATTCTTAATCACGGAAATAACGTAGACGGAGAGGTGGAAGGAAGGATCCCGGGTCGTATATTCGTACTAGTTTTTGGTCGTTAGCCAGTCTACTCGTCCGTAACACGTCTCAAACGGATTTGCATCTTTTAAATGTAGAAATGCAATCTTGCTGAAACGTCTCTCCTTTTGTCAGAAATTTTGCAGGCAAAGGCAAGTGAGTGAGTTGGTGAATGAGTTAGTACGCAACGGTAGTAGTAATCCACTTTAGTTCCACTTTATAGACGACTGCCGTCTCGGAACCGAACGCGGACGCGCAAGAAGCCCCCGAGTTAGTTGTGATGCTGCTTCTAAGTCCCTGCTTGTTGTATCATGTCTTAGTACCGCCGCGGGACCCGACTTCCTCCGCATAAATTCCTTTTACTGCTACTAAGAATGATTATACCGGGAACCCCGGGCTGAATTTAACGCTGGACCTGTATCTAATGCTCGAAAGGATAATAGTTTTGTCGGAAAAGTAACTTTACTTCTTCTTTTCATCCTTAAAACACTTTATGATATTTCGCATGTTGCTGCGACATATCATCACCGTCGCCGTCAGTATCATCTTCATAATAATCATAAGAATCATAAAAGCGTTAGTCCTGACCTAACCTTCGCATTTCTATTTCTGGTTCTACTTCTACCTCTCTTAATTCCTGTTTGGGCTTCCGATAGGTCTGTAACTAACCCTTCATGCTTGGGAAGGTGTCTTACCAGTCTATCTCGCCTAGTTCTTGTTGACTTCAAGCGCCCACTGTTCTCTTACTCTTTCTAATACTTCCTTACTTCTCATCTTCTTTATCTACGGTATTCCCATTTTTCCGCTGTGGCCACCGTCAATATAGAGATATCAAGTATCAATGAAAAAAGGGATTGGATGTGGATTACATGATGATCATATGGTTTAAGAAAATAACAGCTAGAAGCTCTCAGTAATAATTGAGAAGAATAACGATTAAAGAATTTTTATCAGCTAATTCAATTTATCTACCCTAAGTGATAACTTTCAAGTAGATGATGCACAACATTCAGAATTCATATACATGCCATTCTAGATACAAAAAATTAAATTGCTGGTGGCGTTTAAAGTATAGGCAATAGAGATGTTACGTTTGCTAGCTCCTAAATTAAGTTGAAATACAAAAAGATATATCTTCGAAGTTTGGAAAATCTTCTTTGCATCTAGAATGTAAAATTTTTGCTTGCGGGTCAGGGAAAGGGGAGAAGAATGAAACGCATTGAATGTGAAATAGATAAAAAAGAATGTACAAGGCGAAGCCAGGAGCCGCAGGATTCAATTTCGTATTCCGTCAACAGCGTCCCACTGCTGACACCTCTTCAAGTGCCTTAGCTTATTCAAATCAAACTTACTCGGTAAGCATCGGGATCTCAATTTATTCTCATCGCATTTCGCGGTTCCTATGACAACACTACTGATGCTGTCAAATTCATCAAAACCAATCTTATCCTCGAGTCGAATTCGTACCGAATTTAGTTTCCGAGAATATCGTAGCCAGTCAGAACCAAGCAGAGATGGACTGATGTCGGAACGCTCTTGTAGAACTAGAAGACTACCCTGTTTGTCACTCACACCCTCTGTTTGACTCCCTTCTCGTCATGTGAACTAGTGCGAAACCCTAAGGGTTCGTTTATACATGTAGATTGTTAATATGATAATTGGGGGATGTTACCACACCATTGTAGGAATTTAATGTAAATGTTCTATCAGAGTATGCAGCAAATAATACAAAAACTAATTAGACTTCTTAAGAATCTATACAAAGTGACGAAACAGTTTTGGATCGTGAATTTCGTCATACAGTAATAAAAGTGCATTTAAAGAGAAAAGTGGTTTTTATAACTTCTCAAAAAACATTAATTAGTATTTTCTAATTGGTCTGCGACACGATGTGACAGAAGGAGAAAAAACGTTGGAAATATTTTGCAGTAGGTACTTTACTAAATTAGTAATCCGATTACACTTCTTCAGCCTCTCTCGATGTTCATTAAGTGGTTTTTGTTTGCTGGTCACTGGTATGATCCAGGCTTGTTTATCATTAGTTGCAAAAGGGATGCAGAGAAGTTGGGTAACATGCTGCTCTTATATATGTAAAGGTAGGTACATATAGTTAGTTACCTCACGAAGGACAACTCGCTTGTTTCTGGACTCTAATCCTTCAGTAATGGAAGAGGATTTTCCTATTCTCGTTCTCGCTCTCTGTTCGTATTCCTCCTGTTTCTGCACATTTGTTCCCGGATCGTGTGAGAGAAGATGTTCTCGTGGCGCGTCTTCCAATTTAGAATTCGTACGTCGTGGTTAAACCGAGATGAAGTGGTCTGGAAAATGTTACGTCCCGATATAATGCTACGGGGAATGCCCGAAGGAAATGTCGTCTGCCGCTTTTCCTACTTGTATTTCTACCTCTGCCGCCGGTGTATGTTCCAGATATCATAATATAATAAAAATGCTCCGCTGCATATCGTTTATGCTCCTGGCACGGACTAAATTATAATTCTTGTGGGCTTGTATCTCCTGAAAGATACACGTGTTCGACTACGTAATACAGAATATTCTAGAAGACTTGTTTTGATATCACTTGAATGAGGAATATTTTTAAATACTGAAGAACAAATTCTCGTTTAATGTTACATGTGTATATCATTAAATAAACATTACCATATCCGAGATAAAAATGTTCAGTCTCTCAGAGTCTCTGAAAGCGAGAATCGAGTCTCAGTTTCTCATCGAGTCTCTGGTGTCGCTGAGAGAGACTGTCAAAAAAACTGTTTAGCGTCTCTGAACGAGAGATTCGAGTCGCTCATAGAGTGATCCTCATTTCGTATCCAGTCTCTGAACGAGAGACTCGAATCTTTGAAAGAGAGACTCGAATCTCTTAATAAATGGTGTCTCGATAGACCTGATTAAAATTTAAAATAAAGTTCAACGTATTTCAGAGATCCCAGTCTTTCTACGAAAGACTCGAGTCTCTCAATTTTTCAGTTTCATTCGTTCCGTCTCTCTATGAGAGACTGGAATCTGTGCATTAACAATCTTATTGTTCGTGTCTCTCATACAGAGACTGTGAGAGATCCATAAAAAAGCTAGGCAATAACTGAGAGGCTGTGAAAGACTGTGAGAGACGCTTTCAGAGACGCTGAAAGACTCTGCAAGATACTGAGGGACTGGAGAGAGACTGAAATTTTTTGTCTAGGGTAGGCGCGGACTAATTCATTAAATATTCTTTCGAGTGTGTCGCCATGTGCAGATAACTGTAATATTTTATAATTTTTGGCAAGGATTTGCAAATGTGTTTAGTTAAGAGTGAAATTTTGCGCTTCAAAATTTAAAAATTAGTTAAAAAGGACCCGAAATTATGAATCAATTTCGTCGATTTCGTAAAAACACATTTGCATCAAACACATGTCACTAAATTTAAATTGTAAGTTTACTGTTTGTACTCCATATTTATGCGACTGTCAGTTTGTTTGACGCCTTAACTACTAAACCGATCATCATGAAATTTTGTACATACATTGCCAAGGGTATATAAAAAGACATACGGTACCTTTTATCCAGAAAAAAAAAACGCTGTTCCCGAGGGATAAAAAAATTTTTGGTCATCTCGATAAAGAAGTACAATATCTGTTTCCAGTTGGTTACATTAATTTTTTTGTAATTTTTAGTTCATATGAACGTACTTTAAGTACACTTGCATTGAATTTCATAAAAGTAATAACCTTTTAGAAGCATACCCTGCGAAAATCTTGGCGCACAGCCTTCCCTGATGGTAGTGCTCACTTAATTTCGATTTACTTTGGTTCAGTTCGGTTTGGTTCATAAAACCGAAAGAGCCATTTCCACATTAAAAGCGCATTACGCGGCCGGAGAAGCGCACCCGCGCGGGCCTTTTTATTACCTCTGTCATGTTATGGAGCAACTTTAAAGAATTTAATTTAATTCTTTGTATCATTAATCTTCTTGTTGTGCACATCGAGCTTACCGCCGCGCCGCCTTAAATGCCGCATGGCGCCGGAGCACAACTTTCCTACTGCTATTTCCTTGCAGCTTTCCCACTGATGCACCGCGCCTTGTGTCACAATTATTCTCAGGGTAACAGTCGATGTCGCTAAAACAGACGCATAATCTACAAGGAACAAAATTAAATGAAGACTATAACTTTTTTTTTTAGCATTTGGGTATTTAATAAAAATACTGGTCTGTAAGGAGAAAAATATAGGATAGGATAGGGTAGGAGACGAAAAATTAGAAGAAGAACCAGGACGGAAGGAGTAGTAAGGATTTAAAGCAGAGGATAGCGCAGGGTCGAGTCGCCTTCAATAGAAAGAAGTCACTTCTATGCTTGCGAACGTTAATTAAGGAATTCGAAAAAGTTTGTTAAAGGTATATGTTTGGAGTGCGGCGCTGTACGGGTGCGAAACATGGACGGTGAGCGTCGTGGAAAGAGAAAGGTTAGAAGCGTTCGAAATGTGGTATTACAGGCGAATGATGAGAATACCGTGAATAGGGAAGGTTAGAAATGAAGAGGTATTAGAAAGAATAGGAGAACAGGCGACTCTATGGAAGTCAATAAGAAATAGACGAGATATAGGTTGGTAGGACAGCTTCTCAGACATGAAGGGCTAGTCAGAGACATATTAGAGGCAGAAACAGGAGTTAAAAGGAGTAGAGGTAGACTTAGATTAGATTACTGTTTGCAAATAGTTAAGGATGTGGGATGTTCTAGTTGTAGGGAAATGCAAATATTAGCTCAGGATAGTAAGAAGTAGAGGTGCGTGTCCAACCAGTCTTAGGACTGACGACCTTATGATGATGGCTATTTAATAAAACGTAAACACTCTGAAGGTGTATTTGTAGTTTCGGACTTACAAACTTAGAAGGTTTACCCTTTTATAATATCAGAGTAGATAAAATTTTTTCTTTTTGTTGCAGGATGGCGAGAGGGGTTACCTAGAGGGCTTAGCGTCACGTTACGCTGACCTGTTCTGTACTCACTACGGGGACGTTTTGAACCATCTTGAGGAGTTACGAAAGAAAGAACTGACCGAAATTTCGTCGCAGGACAAAAGCTTGAGCACAACCCCAAATAGAAAATACGCTAACGTCACTGCCATATCGAACGCAGGAATTACTTCATCTCAATCTCAGCCGATTTATGTGCCGGGGAAATACTCGGTAAGAAACGGGAAACTTTCTGACGTTGTTTGTTCATAGTCGTAATGATTTTTATATTTTGTTGTTGCAGCCGTCGAGTTGCCTGAGCGATAAAGAGGAAGATGAAATTTATGGGTTCGGCTATGGGGTTTTCGGTGTTCAAATAGCCAGGCAGCAACAGCAACGAATTATGGCTGCAGCCGAACAGGGAAATAACAGCCAACAACTCAGTCAGCATTTCTACCAAACGTGAGTACCCCAAATTACTATTGTTTCATGTTCGTCATTGGATTTTGTTACCCTGTGTTGGTGTTATTCTAATATTTCACCTAATTTTATAGCTCATTGATAGATAGACTGCTTAAATTTTTTTAAATTTCACTCTCAATTAGAATTTTCAATTCACTAATTAGTTCAGGTACTAGCGGAAATCTGTTGTATCATTTTTATACAACAAGGAACCAGAAATCGAATCAATCGATACATTTTTTGTATATAGAAATAAGTACCGAGCTTTGAAGGATGAAAGTTACAGTAATTTACAATTCGAAGCCGGTTCTGTGCGTGAATCGACAACGTAAGTGTCTACCGAATAGCGTAGTGCGTTAAAAACTGCAGCTATATGGATGGAGACTGTAAACGTTGATAATCTAATCTAATAAATAAACAATACATGAGCAAAAAAAATACAAAATAAATATTACACTAATATCTGGTAATTACTAGTTAATTAAGTACAGCGTTGCGGCCCGTATTGCTTTACTCCTACAAACTCGGCACTTGTTTCTGTTACGTCCTGTACATACCATCCAGAAAATGTAATTAATCCTTACCTGGTAAGTGTAGAATTACCAGACGAAGCCCTTCAATTTAAATGGCACCTATCTGAATGAATGTATTGTGTAGTTAAAAAAGTTTATTAACTTTGCGCCCTGAATAATAAGTTCCATGAGACTGAATGTGAATTGAGTATTTCATTATTCGAGCCCGAATTTCTGTTAGAATTTATTGTAAAGTACTCTCGCTCTAATATATATATATATATATTATTCAAATATCATTTCCAAAAAAATTGCAGTCTCCCGGTTCATGCAAATTAGGAGGTTCGCGTTAGAAGTGGCCATAGAATTATCATATTATTTAAAAATAGAACAGATTCATTACATATTCAGTTTAATTTAAAATTTCTCACTGTTCAGCATAATATAATAAGCACTGTCGATCTATTCAGCANACTCGGCACTTGTTTCTGTTACGTCCTGTACATACCATCCAGAAAATGTAATTAATCCTTACCTGGTAAGTGTAGAATTACCAGACGAAGCCCTTCAATTTAAATGGCACCTATCTGAATGAATGTATTGTGTAGTTAAAAAAGTTTATTAACTTTGCGCCCTGAATAATAAGTTCCATGAGACTGAATGTGAATTGAGTATTTCATTATTCGAGCCCGAATTTCTGTTAGAATTTATTGTAAAGTACTCTCGCTCTAATATATATATATATATATTATTCAAATATCATTTCCAAAAAAATTGCAGTCTCCCGGTTCATGCAAATTAGGAGGTTCGCGTTAGAAGTGGCCATAGAATTATCATATTATTTAAAAATAGAACAGATTCATTACATATTCAGTTTAATTTAAAATTTCTCACTGTTCAGCATAATATAATAAGCACTGTCGATCTATTCAGCAGTAGATATAAGCAAAAATGAGACTTAAAAGTGTAAATTTGGAACTGTGAGTTCTTAGCACCTCAGAATTCTGTCTCTTGCAGGTTCATTGTGACTGTAATCAACCTTCAGTTGTTTGTATATAAATGCTACTAAATTGCAGTTTCCAATCAGAATTTATACTGTGAAGTAAACGTCATTTTCTCTATTGTTTATTTTAAAATATTCAATAGTTTGTTTAACTTTTGAGGAGTAGAATTGTCCGGATTGAATTATCGAATTTGAAGGCAGTCTACCAATTTCTAACCAAATCTACGGATTTGAAATAAGTTGAATTAATTTCTGCACAATTGCATATTGATGTCGCAATTTTAAACGCTAGTTTGAACTTAGTTCATCCGTCCATTGAATTAGAAAATTTTATTCTATCACAATAACTTCATCATCGTCATACAATTTTCGTTTTGGGTCATGATATTCGTCGTGTTAAAAACATATTATTTTTCTTTCAGGTGTCTTAGTCCGCGGTCCGCTTTTTTTTACGAGTTTCCCCCAAACGGTAAGTTGTTTTTAATAATTTTAGATATTAGAACATTATCAGTTCGCTATTTCTTCCCCTAGTTCTAATGTGGACAAAAGAATCGAGGTAAAAGAAGGTAATAATGTCTTTGTTGGTTATAGAACCGACACCAACGTTTCGCCTCTTGTTAGGAGGCTTTATCAAAGGTGTGTAAGTAATAATTGTACAGAATTTAATTGCAATAGACACTTACTAGGTTCTTTTAGTTAATTATAAGATGTTTGGCGTCGGTTTTATAACCAATAAAGACATGACACCCTCTTTTGCCTTCATTCTTTTGTTCACATTAGAATATAATTTTTTACTTTCTTTTCTACTTATTAATGTGTAATCTTTTATGTACCGGTATTTGGCCAAAAAGTGTTTTAAGTTTCATCACTTTTTATTCAATGAGTAGGTGTATTAGGTAGTTGTGCTAAAGTGGTTGAAAAGCGATTAATCGGGGCGGTTTAGTGCATCACGTTTTGTGAAATTTTCAAATTTCGCTTGGCCAATAACGAACTTTGAATGTTAAGTGGTGGTAGGACCGTTCAAAAACTGATTCGTATGCGGTTGTTTGGTTTGAAATAAACGATAATCACAGATCGGTTTTGCATCGGAAAATACAACGGGTTGGCAATGTTCAACGACGCAGTTCCGCTGCATGTGTCAGCACCAGCGAGCGCCCTCCTGCATTTAAATAAACCCGGATGTTGCATTAAACTGAGCTCGGCAAAAACATGCCACAATTAGATATTAGATCTAGTTTTACAAACAAACACGTATAATTTAATGACAATCAAAATCTAATACCATAATATTTTTCGTAAATTTTCTTCTTTTTGAAATTCAGTTTGTAACTGTAGGGTTTATCGACTTTTGTTGCAAAATTAGCCCCACGAAATACGAAAATAATTTTAATGGACTATAATATACAGCCTATTTTTACCCTGAAAATCCCTTCCTAAGTATTAGTGAAAGAATTTTTGAGGTCGAACGACTAGTCTCCTACATCCTACCTAACAAACTTGCCAACTTTACCTCTTTATAATATTAACTAGTGACCGCCCCAGCTTCGCACGGGTGCAATGCTGATGCTAAATATATTTTTGTTTTGTTTAGATTATTATCGAAAAGGGGAAATCTTCAAAAGATATCCCCATAACATACTAAATATACTACAGAATATACAACATTCACAGTGTTTTTGTCATTAGACAATACAAACCGGCCGCCCGGCCGGTATCGCCGCAACCGCTATGTCCCTGCATTTTAAATCTGTAATATCTTCGAAAATATTCATTTAAATTACATGCTGTAAAGGGCCATATTGATCTATATTAAATGCACAATGTATTTAAGGTACTTAATTGGATAAGAATTAATGGTGTATTGCCTACAATCGCTTCGTAAATAAGTCATTATTTCTCATAAAAAGTAAAGGATAAAAATGGTTATTGTGAGTTATCCCTAAGAGATAGACATATACTATCGCGGATGTTTTTGTAGACCCTTTTAAGATGTACAATATTGTAGTACATTATTTTGATCTATCTCGTAGGGTTCAGCCAACGTTTGCAATGTAAGCGCAAAAAATGTGTTTATTTACGACATCACATTAGAAACCTCTAAAATTATCAGTGTTTTGCTACTATATTATGCATGTATTATACATATAAATCTTCCTCTTGAATCACTCTATCTTTTAAAAAAAACCGGATCAAAATCCGCTGCGTAGTTTTAAAGATTTAAGCATACATAGGGACAGACAGCGGGAAAGCGACTTTGTTTTATACTATGTAGTGATATACATAACAATTTTTAAATATTAATGTGAATTAATATTGTACCCTTTATATATTACCTCAAGTTAATGAGGAAAAGAGTAGATTTCTTCAATATAAGGTAGGTTTTCGTAAAAATTGAAACCGCATTCGGTAAACAGGTGCATTCAGGACTTTATAACGAAAAACTTTGAATAGTGACAGGAACACTGAAAAAAATTTAATGTAAACATAGAACATTGGTAAATACTAATGAATGCCACCTTGTAAATAACTTGCTACGCGTCAAATTTCCACTGCATTTGTGTTCCACCCTGCGCGTTCGACTACATTTTGGTTTTTAACGTTTCGAATGCTGTCGTCGCTCGTTGGAACGGAGGTGGGATTAAAAGGGGAAATGGGAAAATAAAAAAAAAAGGACGGGAAGTCAGGAGGGCAGATCTAAGTCGGCTAATTTATCAGGTTAATTCGCGCGGGCCGAACGTTCTGCCATTTGTCATGATCAACCTGTTCAATTTACCGAATATTAAAAACGAATTCGCCGAGTCGGGCCGTCCTTTATTTATTGGTTCCGCAGACGCGGACGTTTTCCCCAGAATTAAAAAAGTAACATTCGGAAGTAATGCCGTTAATTACCAACGCTTTAATTCTCGTCGCTCACAGGGAAATGGATGTTACAGAAATCGACACACACAAAAAAAAACAAAAAAGAAAAAAAAGGATTTCCGAAGTGCCCTTTTAATCTTGTTTATGACCAGTTGTTGTTCACGAATAAAATTTAAACACTCGCTGAGTAGTGTAAAACATTTTTCCAATACGTACAAAAATTCAAAATTCTCTAATTTGATTTATTGAAGTTGTTTTTGACCAAAATCTGTAACTTATGACTGTCTAGAATCTAGAATGATGCAGAACCTTTACCGAATAAGCTCAAAACAAAGAAACATTATTATTTAATATTAATGTGAGTAGTCATTTAATTTTTATCCGCCACAAATTACGTCAAATTAATGAGAAAAAGTTGTTGTTGCTGTCACATCCTCGCCGAGAATTGAACCTAGGACCTTTAGCTTTATGCACCAATGCTCTGACCACCGAACTACGAACAGTGACAGTAGCAACAACGAAGAATGAAATATATTAATCAGTCAGGCGATTGACACGTAAAGCCAAAGGTCGCGGGTTCGATTCTCGGCGAGGGCGTAACAGCAGCAACAATTTTTCATTATTTATTTGAGGTAATTTGTAGTGGATAAAAATGAAATTAATTTTCACGTTAATGTTATATATTAACCGCTATTAAAACTTTCTTAAAGTATTTCATATAATATTGATATAAACAGTATTATTTTCGGGTCCTGTTTTGTGTTGATGAACTGAAAGTTGAACCTTATTTTTGTGTTAAGAATTCGTAAAAAATTGCGACGTATTACAATTTCTTGCTTTCCTGAACAGTATTCGTACGTCAGTAGAAGGGAACGAAAGAAAAGAGAAAAGGAATGTGATGTGTTATTTGTAATTCCATAAAGTTTTATTGCGGGTCGCTTTAGACAGTAATTTTTCATGACTCTGCCGCAACTTTCTTTGGATTTTTTACGAGCTCCGATGCACAGTGTCCCTTTTCTTCAAAAAAGAGAGAAGTGTTCTAGCAAGTGCCACATAAAGATATTTTGTCAGCGACCATAATTTACAAACTACGAGACAGCGGGGATTTTGGATTTGCTCGCGGAATTCTTTTTGGCCTTATCATTTTCCAAACAATTGATTATCTATCTAAATACTGTATCCTCTCGGAAGCGCTGTCTTTATTGTCTCTATATAATATTGCTCATGAATAATGCATGAGTATTTCAAACCGACGAACAGGCCACCATCATAACTGCTATAATATAGCTCTTTTATAGGGTAAAAGTAGCGGAGTCCGCTCTTCAATAAATATACATATACGTATAGGGGGCATACAGGGTAACCTCTAAAAATAAAACCATGTAGCCAAACTTGCCTAAACAATGAGCTACAGGGTGTAATACAATATTAGATATTACATAATTAATGATTTGGTTCAGTTTCTCAGAGTCTCTGAAAGCGAGATTCAAGTCTTAGTCTCTCATCGTGTCTCTCTGATGTCGCTGAGAGAGACTGTCAAAAAAACTGTTTAGTGTCTCTGAACGAGAGACTCGAGTCGCTCACAGAGAGATCCTCATTTCGTATCCACTCTCTGAACGAGAGACTCGAGTCGCTCACAGAGAGATCCTCATTTCGTATCCACTCTCTGAACGAGAGACTCGAATCTCTCAATAAGTGGTGTCTCGATAGACATGGTTAAAACACAGATCCCAGTCTTTCTACGAGAGACTCGAATCTCTGAACGAGAGACTCGAATCTCTCAATAAGTGGTGTCTCGATAGACATGGTTAAAATTTTCTAAGTTCAACATATTTCAGAGATCCCAGATTTTACTAGAGACTCGAGTCTCTCAAATTTTCAGTTTTATTCATTCAGTCTCTCTGTGAGAGACTCGAATCTCTGAATTAACAATTTTGTCGTTCGAGTCTCTCATACAGAGACTGTGAGAGATCCATAAAAACACCTAGGCAATAACAGAGAGACTGTGAAAAACTATGAGAGACTGGAGAGACTGAAAATTTTTGTCTAGGGTAGATACTAATTCAATTTTAATTTCGTTATTTACTGATATACCTATTGGTAGCGTTATTATGAAAATGTTGATCAAAATAAGTCTACTTATACTTTTTATTTTTTTTCCCAAGTTTTTCTCGTAATTGTAAAGATTTCGTTCGAACCGCTGGAAACGTAATAAAAATTAATGACACTGAAAATAAATGTGGTATATTGTAGTATAGAAATGATCCTTTATTTTATTTCTAATGCATTTAAAGATCGCAGTGGGCACCTATATCCTGGAAAGAAACCCGCGATGATTTAGTGTTAAAGGAAATTCTAACGTTCACTTTTCCGGATCTTGGTCAGATGATGGACGATATTATGCTATTGAATTGTTTCTTCTAAAACCCCTGCATTATACTTATAAGTCGAAAGATATTTTTACTGGGTTTTTCATCGAAGAAACCGTCCCACTACAGATAACAAAGCTGTTTTCTTATCAGTGTTATTCAGAGGAAAATACTCTTTGTTTGTTGCATCTGGTCTACGGAAGAATTTAGCTCTTCCTAATATTAGGAAAACTAGACATAAGGCATTGAAATAATGCAAGAAGGACAATAATTATTACAACAAATAGAAGAATAGTGAAACAAAATGAACAAAAACTATGTATATTATCATGTATTTAATTTAAAACTTGAAATCTTCAAATAAAAGGACTTAATGAGAAAAATGCTTACCATTTTCTTCCTGGCATGTGGGCATTACCATGGTCCGAGTTGATGTTTTTCAGACGTCTTGGATAATAATACATTAAAAGTTTTTATTTAAACAATTTTGTAGTCAATTTACTAGTTATTATTGTAGAGGCGTATGTATAAAAACAACCTGTACGTAGGGCTGCTAAAATAAATTACATAGAAAACTTTTACCTAAAATCTTTATAGTAAAAACGCAGGAAACTTATAAATAATTAATTTTCGTAATTACGTAAGATTGTACAAACTAAAAGACAAGATTCTATAAAGGGTTTAAACAATTTTAACAATCTTGGCATTGCTGGGTTAAGATTAATTTTTTAAGTTTATTTTTTATTCCATTTTTGTAAATTCTAGATTCTCAAGTTCTTTTGGAATGTATGTATTTTTTTTACAAGTATTTTTTACTCCCTGTTCGAGTCAAGCATTCGATAACGAACAATTCAATGGTAATCTGTATTTCGGCTGTCACGATTTCACACGTTTTGAAACGATCGGCCCATATAATAGTTCGATTTTTGCGAAACATACACCGCTTTTCAACAATAGCTCTAATGTCAAGTTGCCATTACTAGAAAACCAATCATTCATTTAAATGAATCGAACACGTAAAAATCATTAGACAATTCCAATTTCAATTTTTAATCATTCTCCAAAATCAATGAGGGAGAAAGATAGAGGACACTACTAACATTACGAGATTGTGAGTCTGAAGACAGCTCCTCAAAACACAAAACGTCGTCAAATTAGTTGTTTGCAATATGTTGACTTCTACTTTTTCTAACATCTGCTTTCCACGAAGTGATAAAATATTAATAAAATGATGCCCTCGCGCACCGAAGGTTCTGTACAAACTTGTAAGCATGTACCATAAATAGCTCGTCGAAGTTCCCTCCCAAAATAAGAAAACATTTATGGTTTTCCGAATTTTCCCTTTTGCTTGTGGTATAAGACATGCTAAATTTTTGACTCTGAGCCAACAGGAAGTATCCCATCGGTTTTGATTTCCATGCCAATGTCAAAATATGCGGCACAAACAGCCCTTTCTTTTGATATCGTTGACTTATTAGAAGTTTCATCTTTTCACAGCTTCACGATGTTTCAGACCTTGATATTTGATGTTAATTTCAACCTGATACCTCCACGCGTTCTTGAGGAAAACATACAGGTAGAAGGACAACGAAGTGATAGTATAAGGGTTCCTTTTTACTTTTAAGGCACGGAACCCTAAAAATGATAATAAATTGAAAACGCACTTAATCGTTCCAATACGTGTTCCGTCAAAGTATTATTGATTTTTAGTCCTTTTCGATTAATCGACACCATCCTTGATATCAGAAAAGTAAACGCGTTTGTAGGTATTACCCTTTAATTAGATGCCTTAATAATCGGTTAATTCCAGAAAGGGTTGCTAAAGTAGGAAATAGTTGTAACAATTTGTACAAATAGAACCTTTATTAGATATTCAGAATTTTACGATACATATAGGTATTACATAATTCATATACATAATTATTTAGTAGGACTTATTTAGAAAACTATTACATGCATATAAGTGATTGCTTTTGTTTAGAGCCACCCTGTAACCATAAAAATGTTTATTATTAGATAATCTTGTTTATCGTTTTTGGGCTCGGATTTTTAGCGTGTTATTTTCCCTTTAATTTTCCCAGAATTTCGTGAGGTAACCGCCACCCCCGGAGAGAATAAGGGAACGCAAGTGTGTTCATAATAATTTCATGGGCGCTTGTTGTTTTTGTTGTTTCAGAAAACGCGAATTACGCAAACACGGGGAAAAAGCGGACGACATTCTCCAGGTTTCTTCGGGGCTTGAAGACTGCTCATCGAAAGGAGAAACACGGCGGCAGTTCCCCCAGGCACGGAAGGGCTACGTCGGGAGGCGCAGTACCTCAGAGGGTAAGTGGAAATTACAATTTCTTTCTCTTTCCCGCGTTATCTAACCCGCACGAAAGCATAGCACGGAGCGTCACTAAATTACTGTCTGCTCTTTCTTCTTTTACGTCATTTTTCCACGTGCTTGCCCTTTTTCCTCTGTCTCCTATCATATCTCGAACGCCATCGCAACGTTTGATATATGGACTCAAATTCATCCCCTAAATACTTGGAATTACTGCTTTATTTTATTTCGAAAAATTTTAAACGAACCAGAAAATTTTAGTTATTACTCGGGCTGCTCAACGAAGTCATGAATATTAACAAAAAAAAACAGTCAGGAAAATATCCTTATTCGTAATATTAATCTGAAATCATTTTTTAGATTTTTTTATTTACCCACTACAAACTACCTCAAATTAACGAGGGAAAAATTGTTGCTGTTGTCACATCCTTGCCGGGAATCGAACCCGGGACCTTTGGCTTTACTCACCAATGTTCTGACCACTAAACTACGAGAGGTGACAACAGCAACGACAACCAGTGGGTAAATAAAAAATCTAAAAGATGATTTCAAATTAATATTGCATATTAATCCACTATTAAGTAACTAACAATGTCATAGGATTTCATATCCTCATTCGTATTGAAGAAAATAGTGGAGGTAAGACTTGTTAGTTATCAAATTTAATTACTTTGGTTGAATTGAGCGTAATGGAACAAGTTAAACGTTTCCTTTAAAAATATGATCTCTTTCGCTACGTTTTAAAGTTGGCAGTATTCCAGTAGAAGTTGGTCTTCTACTTCGTATACGTTGCACAATCTGCCATAAATCCATTACTTAAGATAAACCAACATTGCACGTTCGTTTTTTGCCTGCCAAAGTACTTTTTCATGTCCTTATTACTTTGAAATACGATAATTTGTGGCCCTTATCGTTGCACGGTCGGTAAAGGAGCTGCGACACTAATTTACAACTGTACGCATGGAAAAGTAAAATATTACACAGACGTGAACCTAATTAAGATATTAATGAAAATTGTCCTAGTCAGGCGAACAAACTACTCGATTTTCTCTTTTCCTCCTTTTTAATCTCTCACCGTGTAATTGTAAAATATTGGACTTTCTGGGATATTTTTACTTTATTTTTGTAGAACAAACAGAATAGCTCAAAACCCCAACGCCAAAACACGACACTGTAGTTGTCCGAAGCACTTTTCGGTAACAAAGTTACCTTCTTCAGGGACTTTTCAAACAGATGCTAATAAAACCAAGTTTATTACTATGCCATACGAGCCAAGATTTACTCGCGGACTCGAAGGTATTTTTCGAAAACTTGGTTTACGGATTGCTTACGGTTCAAATGGCAACTCCATTCAAACTCTCCTTGGTAACCCTAAGGATAAAATTCCATTCTTAGAAAAGTCGGGGATATATGAAATTAGTTGTAATGACTGTAGTAAAAAATATATTGGACAAACTAGACGTTCAATCAAAACCAGATTTAAAGAACATCTAGCTCATGCTAGGTTTGGTAGAGAAGAAAAATCTAGTGTTGCCCAACATATTCTTACTGATGGACATAATATTAATATTAATAACCTTAAGTTAGTTAAAGAAGTTAGGAATAATCGTTTACTAAACAGTTTTGAAAGTTTATACATTTATAAAAATAAACAAATTGTTCTTAACAATGACAACGGTCCCATCCCTGGATCTCCGCTATTTAGTTTAGTTTAATTACGTTTATAATGATGATGTTAAGGTCCATTGAACATCTACCTTGTTGGCTTCGGGTCATGTTCACTGAACCTTAACAACTATCAGTATAAATTAGGATTAGTTCTCATTTAGGTTTAGTTTACTTCAGTCCCTGAAGAAGGTAACTTTGTTACCGAAAAGTGCTTCGGACAACTACAGTGTCGTGTTTTGGCGTTGGGGTTTTGAGCTATTCTGTTTGTTCTATAACAACCGCCAAAGTTTTTCCAATCTTCATATTTATTTTTGTATTTATGCAAAGTGCTAATTTATTTGCTCAAATGCAATATTTAAGTAGAAAAACTCACGGTAACTAGGTACTCTTGAAAATTAAAGTTTATTCCATTATAATATAATAAATGTAAATAACAAAAAAAAATAAAAAGTATCAAAGCGGTAATTCTTAAAACGTCTAACAGTAAATGTTATAAACTTAATAACGATAAAAAGCGCGTCATGTAACTCCATACATATATAAATAAAAATCGCACTATTGAAACTTTAATATTCCTCGCCTTCTCCTTCTTCTCCTCCTGAATCCATTCCAACTTCTTCGAAATCCTTTTCCAAAGCTGCCAAGTCTTCGCGAGCTTCGGAAAACTCTCCCTCCTCCATCCCCTCGCCGACATACCAATGCACGAACGCCCTTTTCGCATACATCAAGTCGAACTTGTGATCTAGACGAGCCCAGGCTTCGGCAATGGCTGTGGTATTGGCCAGCATGCAAACTGCTCTCTGGACTTTTGCCAAATCACCCCCAGGCACTACAGTGGGCGGTTGGTAGTTGATCCCGACTTTAAATCCTGTAGGACACCAATCCACGAATTGGATGGTACGCTTAGTCTTGATGGCCCCAATTGCCACGTTGACATCTTTTGGGACAACGTCTCCCCTGTAGAGCATGCAACATGCCATGTATTTGCCATGACGCGGATCGCATTTTACCATTTGGTTGGCCGGTTCAAAACATGCGTTGGTGATTTCAGCCACTGACAGTGCTTCATGATACGCTTTTTCTGCTGATACAATAGGAGCATACGTGGCTAATGGGAAATGGATTCGTGGATATGGTACCAAGTTTGTTTGAAATTCTGTCAGATCGACATTTAGGGCTCCATCAAAACGCAACGATGCAGTTATGGAAGACACTATTTGCCCTATCAGTCGGTTTAGATTTGTATATGTTGGTCTTTCAATGTCCAAATTCCTTCTACAAATATCGTAGATGGCTTCGTTGTCCACCATGAAAGCACAATCAGAATGTTCTAGTGTTGTGTGGGTTGTTAGTACAGAGTTGTAAGGTTCAACAACAGCTGTTGCTATTTGTGGAGCTGGATAAACAGCGAACTCCAGTTTGGACTTCTTTCCGTAATCCACTGACAATCTTTCCATTAAGAGAGAGGTAAATCCTGATCCCGTGCCTCCCCCAAACGAATGGAAGATAAGAAAACCTTGAAGACCTGTGCATTGGTCTGCCAATTTTCGACAGCGATCCAACACCAAATCGACAATTTCCTTCCCAACGGTGTAATGCCCGCGGGCATAATTATTTGCCGCGTCTTCCTTTCCGCTTATCAATTGTTCTGGATGGAAAAGTTGACGGTACGTTCCCGTTCTGACTTCGTCAATAACCGTCGGTTCGAGGTCAATAAAGACCGCCCTGGGGACGTGTTTACCTGCACCCGTTTCACTGAAGAAGGTACTAAAGCTGTCATCACCTCCTCCGATCGCTTTATCGGAAGGCATTTGGCCATCCGGCTGGATGCCATGTTCCAGACAATATAGTTCCCAACAGGCATTTCCAATTTGAACGCCGGCTTGGCCGCAATGGACGGAGATACATTCGCGCTGAAATAGAACGAAAATATCTCTTTAAAAACAATACATTCGAATAGCAAATGGGACGCACTTACCATTTTTTAAAACTTTTACTATTTTTATTTCGCTTTTTCTATCGTAAAGTAATTGATTTATTAGATTATTAACCGAGCGCTTTAAATAAAGTTGTAAAATTGTCTATTACGTTTGTTATTTTTTGCTATAGATACCAAAACGGTTTTCTTGATCGATTTTATGCCAAAATAAATCGCATACTCCATCACTGATCTTTGCTTGTCGAAATAACTTTTATGGCATCAGAAACCAATATTGAATCGATTTTAAGAAAGGTCATAATCCCTTTTTACATTATAAGCATTTAATTTTTATTTTTCGTTTTTCGTCCCATTCATTTCGCATTTATAATTGCAATTAACATCATTCATACGCCAGGGGTTGTTGTTTGTTCGGATGTCACCTTCAGCGACCGAATTTGTCAACGCTTTAAAAAGGCCGTCACCAACAAAAATCCATCATTTCGACTACGAATATAAACCGATGCACTGATGTTTATAATCCCCTGCACGCCGGCCGGAAATTTTATTTCCATTTCAAAACTTCAGCGCGATGAAAAAAAAATGACAAACAGTAACATTATGTACAATCATGAATCTTTTTTTCCATATTAAGCAATTACTTTTGTAGTTTCTTTTAGCTAATCGGTTTTTCAGTCCTATTGTTTGGTATTTAAACACCTTTCTCACACTTTTACTATTGTTGTTTAACTATTTGCTATCTCATTAAGACTTCTATAATAATAGAAGTTAATTAATTAGTTATCCTGCTTCTTCGCTTTGTATCGTCTCGAACTCGTTCTCGTACTACCTACTTGATCTCGCGTCAACTGTTTATATAGGCTGGCCGTGTTCTAGAATGATCCAATATATGCCTTCTAGAATCCTGGCATTCTTTGTCGCTATATATGTTGAGTTACCTACATATATCTGACAGTATTTTCACATTTTATGAAGAAATATTGTTCTTACTCCAAATCTTTGCTAAATTATGATTTTGAAATTATTACACTTGTAATCAAATTCGCACTTGTCGTTTGTTTATAAAATGTACCCTCAAGCATATTTCTTGATTCGACGATACTGACGATGCTTTTATTCGGTGAACTATTATTTCACCATCGTCTTCAAAGCTATCTCACAAGAAAGTAATTACGTACACACAATCTGTTTATTATCCTTTAAAACATGTAATAATGAAACATGTGAACGTCGTTAAAAGTCTTACTCCAGCGTTAGCGCCTTTGTTTGAATATCTACAAATTTAGAAGTGTAAACTATCATTGTTCTCGTAAAAGTTTCCAAAACATTTTTATGACTACTGTCGAGCACATTCCGTGTATGTTGCAATAATTGTAAATTGTCTGACATACAAAATACTTACCTAACGTTGTATGCCTTTCAAAATTACATGTTTTGTTGTTGTTGAACAACTATTATTTAAATGTCCTTTTTATCTGTCAATTGATTTGAATAATTTCTACGTACTTACATACCCAAAAAAAATATAAATATCGGCCAAGGATATCTGTTAAAGCAATTAAGATTATAAGCAACAATAAATAATTAATGCATGTAGTATTTGTTGTTCGTCGTCAGTAATAATAATACGAATCAGTATGCACTTTATTTAATTAATCAAATAAGCAATTCAGTATCTTACACGCTAATGTACAAAAGCAATCATTGATATGCAATCGCCTAAAGAAACGTTCACTATTATTTCGTTCATTCTTCTTCGCCTCGATCTTCGCCATCTCCTGAATCCAATCCAACTTCTTCAAAATCCTTTTCCAAAGCTGCCAAGTCTTCGCGAGCTTCCGAAAACTCTCCCTCCTCCATCCCCTCGCCGACATACCAATGGACGAACGCCCTTTTCGCATACATCAAGTCGAACTTGTGATCTAGACGAGCCCAAGCTTCGGCAATGGCTGTGGTATTGGCCAGCATGCAAACTGCTCTCTGGACTTTTGCCAAATCGCCCCCAGGCACTACAGTGGGCGGTTGATAGTTGATCCCGACTTTAAATCCCGTAGGACACCAGTCCACGAATTGAATTGTGCGTTTGCACTTGATGGCCCCAATTGCCACGTTGACATCTTTTGGGACAACGTCTCCTCTGTAAAGCATGCAACATGCCATGTATTTCCCATGACGCGGATCGCATTTTACCATTTGATTGGCCGGTTCAAAACATGCGTTGGTGATTTCAGCCACTGACAGTGTTTCATGATACGCTTTTTCTGCTGATACAATAGGAGCATACGTGGCTAATGGGAAATGGATTCGTGGATATGGTACCAAGTTTGTTTGGAATTCTGTTAGGTCGACGTTTAGGGCTCCATCAAAACGCAACGATGCAGTTATGGAAGACACTATTTGTCCTATCAGTCGGTTTAGATTTGTATACGTGGGTCTTTCAATGTCCAAATTTCTTCTGCAAATATCGTAGATGGCCTCGTTGTCCAGCATAAACGCACAATCGGAATGTTCGAGGGTTGTGTGTGTTGCCAGTACTGAATTGTAGGGTTCAACCACAGCTGTTGATATTTGTGGGGCCGGATAAATGGCGAACTCCAGTTTGGATTTCTTTCCATAATCCACTGACAATCTTTCCATTAAGAGAGAAGTAAATCCTGATCCTGTGCCTCCCCCAAACGAATGGAAAAGCAGGAACCCTTGAAGAACAGTGCATTGATCGGCTAATTTTCTACATCGATCCAGCACCAAATCCATGATCTCTTTCCCAACGGTGTAGTGTCCGCGAGCGTAATTATTTGCCGCGTCTTCCTTTCCGCTTATCAATTGCTCTGGATGGAACAGTTGACGGTAAGTCCCAGTTCTGACTTCGTCCACGACTGTGGGTTCCAGATCCACAAACACGGCTCTCGGGACATGTTTTCCGCTGCTAGTTTCGTTAAAGAAGGTAGTAAAACTGTCATCGAGGACTCTTGATTCTTTCGATTCGGGCATTCGTCCATCGGGATGGATGCAATGCTCCAGGCAATATAATTCCCAACAGGCATTTCCCATTTGAACTCCCGCCTGACCGCAATGTATAGATATACATTCACGCTGAAAAGAAAAAATGTATCAGTTAAATAATAACGTAATTTTATAGTGTAGTTTTTGACTTACCATTTTTACTTATCGTTATTGATTATAAATAATAATCGTTCGCCAAATTAAACTTACAAACTTCCTTACTTAATTAGCACAATTACTTACTTAAGTAACTTAACAAAATTGTTTTGTTTTTAATTACCTTGGAGACGTGTTCATCGACATCTAGATACGCGTGTGTATATTTTTTGCGGTCACAAAAATTGTAACTAAACAAGTGACAAGTTTCAAAAATGATTAAAATATGCATAGCGTTCTAGATTGTCGTTATTACATACGTGTAATACAAAAAGAGTAGTTAACAGAAATTTAATTGTACGTCATAGAGGAAAAGAGACAACAACAAACTGAAAGTTCCGCAAAGAATTTTGATGTGTGGCGCATAGCGGGGATATCAACTTAATTGCGAACCTTTTGAGATATTTATTAATCTTAACTAATCCTGAGAAGTTCTTGCACGAAATTAGGACATTCATTTCTCTTGAAGAATCCTTGCGTGTCTTTAAACCGTAACATTCCATCCAATCAGCACGAAAATAATGAGAAATGTAAATGACACGTTCGATAACAAACAAGGATATAAAATAATAATACAATAATACACATTATTTTGTAGATATCAAACATTTGTTCATTTTTAATACCGAGCGTTCGTATTTAATTTACGGACTATTAAACAGTCTTTATTCAGTAGATAAATATTCGCTATGTTGTGTTCCCGTTCAAATAGAAATGGGTGCATTACGGAAAAGTAAAAGGTTTTCTGTGTAATTTAAAAGATATCTGAAATGCAGTTACCTATATACAATCCGATTTAAATTTTTAAGCGCAACTTCAAAAAGAATCTCTACAAGGCGATATCTTCAGGAAAAGCGTGTTCGTCTGATAATGAGAAAAATAAAACAACAGCGTTCAGCTTGCATTGTTACGATATCAGGTAAAAGATTTATTATTTAGAAAATGCGTCCATCTTCATTTGATTTAGAAGACAAAGCAAAAGGATTTTTGTTTATCGTTATAGAAACTCGTACTCTTTATTAATGATATACAATATTTGCATTTGTATAAAGTCTTAGGTCTACTTCTACCCCCTCTTAACTTCTAATATGTCTCTAGCGAACTTGAAAATCTTCCGTTATAAAGATATGGATTCAGATGCAGAAGCGGATGTGAAAATGTATGCGGAACATCCGTAATTGCGGAAGCGTAAGCAGAAGTCTGTTGCAACAGTAATATCACCTATGTCTTATTGACTTCCACAGCCATCGGTTTCCCTATCCTTTCCAAATTCCTACTCATTTCTAATCATAAAACAATAATCGTTTAAAAGTTGTCAAGAAAGTAAAGGAATTAATTTAAACTTATTAAGTTTTATAACTTCTAACTCTACGTAATAAGGTTTTTAGATGTACGTAGAAATCTTGTATGTATATTCCATATTTTATTTGTCACGTCGTCGCTACATTCTATTCATCGGAGGATATTTTCCCTTCGTTTCGGTAGCTTTCCTATTTAATCCAGGATTAATTTTTTTGGTCCAAATTTTTTAACGGTTCGCTTAATTTAAAAGCATCGAAACTTGCTACATTTAACGGCGCCGTTTTTTAATTTGTCCAAAATTTTTAATGGGGTGTCTGCCCGCTCTCTCTGACTCGCTCTCTGGCATTTTACTTTTTGACGCCTCCAGATTTCATTTCGGGTAGCGCGAATTTTGAGAATTCTAACGACAGGAAAAAAAGAGAATAAACCTTTGCACTTTCGACAAACGTGATGCTGTACCGTGAAGCGTTTGAAAACATCTCGAAAGAAACGTTTTTCTTTTTTTTTTTTTTAGTTCTTCCAGCCAGAACGTATTTTCTGTGCACTGTTTTCGTCGTGTTGTCTATATTTGGACACAAAAGCGTGTCGCAGAAAAAACTTAACAAAAACATGGACTCAGAGCTTTAATCTCGGCAATACTTTAGCGTGCTTTGTACGACGCGTAGCGATAGGCGACGCTACTGCTTCAATTATCTCTCGTGTAGTACTGACGTCGAGACGGCTCTCAGTGCTGAATCGGCGTCTCTAGCGTCCTCGACGTCGATTCACTTGGTTTGCAGTATTTAGATCAGGACCGTTCCTTGAAGCTTAACATTTTTTAATGTTCTGTTTGTGAAATTTAAATTCAAAATATGTCAATTCAAGCTGAAAACTTGTCGGCGCCACGAAATTCTACATAAATTTTTCTATATATATATCACCCCCTAACCATTTTAGAGCTTTTATTAGGGTGTTTTCTTTGTCTCTGGCAACAGTCGATAACTTTTGCTACCCCGAAGTTTCACACGTGTTTTTACATAATTATTGCCTATTAAAATGGTTGTTTTTGTCATTGCTTTTAAATGTTTGACATAGTTTTTGTTCATCTAATTTTCTTTTGGTTAAAGGCGCGTTCAAAAACTGTTGGTACTTTCCTTTAAATAAAAACAATTGAAACAAAATGAAAATTAGTTGATATATAATATATTATTTAAAATTTTATCAATCGGCAATTTCATGTAATACATCCAGTATATTATAGCTACTTTCTGGTGAGTATTACGGTTTATCAATTAACAGAAATGTTTACATTTAATTTTCAGTTTTATATCTCTTTCCCAATGACTGTTGTAGTCCTTGTGGGGAATTATAAGGGCTGGATAATTAAAAGTAAACAATGTAATCTGAATTAGAAATATTTTAACTGAAGTTCGCGGTCACAGTATCCAGTATCAAAACCTTAACTATAAATTAAACCAAAAGGTTTGGAGATTTAGTTTAGTTGTAAATTTCACACTCTTTTTTAGTATCTATCTATATTATTAGCACATATATTAAAGTACATATTATAATGTGTACAATTTCTTCTACAGTAGATAAATAAATGAGTTTATTAGATTAATTTTGACATTTTTATAATCCACTACTATCTCGTATTATCCACCAGTCACCTTTTCGTTCTCTGGTTTGCTATAAGATCCAGAGCAGTTACCGAAACCACTTGCAATGTTCTTTTAAATTGCACTTCAGTATGTGTTACACCCAAGCACTAAAAAGTGCGTCGAACCCAACAATATGTAAAATACGGTCCTGTACGTTAGTCTGAAGGTCAATGATATTCCATTGTTATCGAATATGTAAGATAGCGCTTTGTGAATGCACTTTTACTTTCGGCATGTGTTTCCACCCTCGCGCGAATAATCTTTGGGTGAAAGCACGCGCTGGCGTCACGGCGCCGCCGTCGGTCGTAGCGGCCGTCGCGACGCCATCCTCAAGTCAATGCAGTCCGTTGCAACGTAGCTTCCACAAGATTAGTCGAGTGTCATTGTCTAGCTCGACGAACAGGCCTATAGAACCCCACGTCTGCTTTAATGCCATCCGATAAAAAACTCCCTTAGCTTTTGTGTTTCGCAAAGTTTCCAGTACGTAACAAAATTTTATTTACAGATAATTACCGAAAAAGAACTGAGTGCCACGTAAACATGAAGTTAATTTATGAATATCCATTTGTGTTCGAATGTGTTAAAAAAAGAGATGGTAAAGGTCTAGATGATGGCTCTAAACCCCCGAAGGGGCTGGGGTGGGGGGGATCGAAAAATGAGATCTCCCCCACCACTGTACCATAAAAAGTTCGTGGCGGTCTCACCCCCCATAAAAAGTTATGGGGGTTGAAAGTTAATAAATATGCCACTTTTTATACATTTCTAGGCATGTAAATATTTATATAGTCATTCTTAAACAATATTCAAAGGTAAAACTAATGAAAAATACATAGAAATATTGAGAAAGTTATAATAAACATTATTTAAATATCTTTATCAATAGGGTAGGTTAGGTTAGGTTATCGGGTTTTGTTCAAGTGATCACCCTCTTTCGATCCCCCATCTCCACCCGCTTGAAAATAATTTTTTTATTGAATTTTATTTGAATTATAGTGTGTCAAAATAATCAACTTTCAATCCCCATAACTTTTTATGGGGGTGAGACCGCCGCAAATTTTTTTTGGGGTTTTACTCAGGTGACCAACCTCTTTCGATCCCCCACCCCATTCGGGGTGAGCCATCATCTAGACATTTACCAAAGAGATATGTTACTCTTAACATTTTTTGCTATTTATCAATCCTGGTAAAAAATGAAAGACGGCAGGGAAATCCCCCATTACGTTAATTTACGGATCTGTATTTGTTCTCGTGTGTACGTTAGAATGAAAGATTATTGTAGAGCAGTTAGAGGCGCACAATGGCTCTATAGTCGAATGAAAAGTGTTCAGCGGCGGAGGCAATCCCTCATGACGACGTTATCTGGCAGCTGTAATTTCCTGTAAGCTTCTGATGAATGCAATAATCAGATATTGTTATTTATACGGATTATACGTAAGCTGATTATAGTCGAAGCTTCGACAATAAGAGCACATACATCTTCAGCCAAATGTAAATCATTGGCTCCGATTTACAGCCGACAGCTTCCGAAGAAATCAAAAAGAAACGCAGTAAACGCTATGTCTCTCTCTCTCGCTCTTGCGTACACTGCTCATTTTTTATTCCAAAAATTCCTTATTTTCAGGTCGACACCCCGGACAGTGTCCTACAAAGTGGTTTGGGACTCCCAGCAGATTTAGCGCAAAGTAACGTCCTCAGGTCTATGATAGATCCTCGAGATTATGATCGACTGAGATATTTGCAAATGAACGGTGGAGGTCCAAGCACCTTCGAAGAAACAATCTATAGAGTAAGTTACAAAAATAAATTCTGATTCCGGTCTAAGGCCGTCGTCGATTGGAGTTACTTTCTAACGTTTTGCTAGCACGAATGATGTGCTTTTTCAGAGATTCATTCCCATTTTACTCTCTCTCTCTCTCTCTGAAGAAGCTTACCACTCGTGCTAGCGAAACGTTAGGAAGCAACTCCAATCGACGACGGCCTGGTGATCCGAATCAGAACATCAGTTCACTTACTGAACCCGAAAGCCTTTACCAAGTCCATAATCACTTTATTTATTTACCATAAAACTGTTTTCAGTTAAAAGTCCAAGAGGCGCAGAAGAAACGTGAAAAAATCACAAAAGAACATGAAGAGGTGAACTATTTTTATTGTTATTGATATCAACGTTTTTAATTAATATTAACGTTTCAGATTTTAAGGAATATTAGAGAAGGACTAATGCATTTAGGAAAAGGAACATTCCGGGGACATTTGACTGCAGGTACGACCCAATTCCATTGCCAATTGATCCACTTTTGCTTATTTTAATTAAATAGAACGTCAATTTCTGATCGCGTGGTGTGTGATATGCATACAAAATGTGTCGTTCTACTAATGTATTTAAAATTTATCGAGATTCTCTTACATTTAGACGACACGTACATGTACGACGAAGACGTCCGTATGTTGGCACCAGCAACGTATGATAGAGGCCATTGGTATGACGAACCACCTTACGAAAGTGATCCCGAAGATTTTCTGATGAGAGGAAGTCCCGGGCCTACGGCAACAATAGAAAATGGCAGAGTGTGCTTCACGTTGAACCAAAGACAAGAGCAGTGTGCTGAAGGTATAATATCGTTGCGAAGTGCAGGCGATATTTCACTACCAAAGGAAGGAAACGGAAGGGCTATAACTGGACATTCCAAATGCAGGAAATTACTGATTTCTCGCAGAGATGACGAATCTCCGTCGCTAACGCGTATGAGGTAAGTTTATTATTAGCGACTACACTTGTACCATTATAAACTTTTCATATTTTTCTTTAAATAAGTTGAAAATTTTACAGTCATTTTTCAAAATTTTTACACACTATTGCATTGTAAAAATTAAATCTCCATTTTCTTAGTAGAACATTCACTAATTGCTACATGGCAATATATTTCAACGCAAATTCATAGATGCCTTACTATTTGTAGAATTTTACGGATAATTCATGTTTTGTCAACAGTTTTTCAAAACGCACCTACAATCCGATAACACCACAAATTTTTGCGTATATTTTTACGTATGTTTCACCCTTTGGACCTTTCAGAATAATTATTTAACATGTCTAAAAATTAGGTGCGCTTTTTGATTGTAGAATTTTTGCGGGTTTTACAGTTATGTCAATTAAATCGTCTTTATTTCAAGACGCACCTAAAATCCGGTGGCACCACAAGATTCTGCGTATATTTTTACGTATGTTACACCCTTTGGACCTTTCAGAATAATTATTTAACAGGTCTAAAAATTAGGTGCGCTTTTTGATTGTAGAATTTTTGCGGGTTTTACAGTTATGTCAATTAAATCGTCTTTATTTCAAGACGCACCTAAAATCCGGTGGCACCACAAGATTCTGCGTATATTTTTACGTATGTTACACCCTTTGGACCTTTCAGAATAATTATTTAACAGGTCTAAAAATTAGGTGCGCTTTTTGATTGTAGAATTTTTGCGGGTTTTACAGTTATGTCAATTAAATCGTCTTTATTTCAAGACGCACCTAAAATCCGGTGGCACCACAAGATTCTGCGTATATTTTTACGTATGTTACACCCTTTGGACCTTTCAGAATAATTATTTAACAGGTCTAAAAATTAGGTGCGCTTTTTGATTGTAGAATTTTTGCGGGTTTTACAGTTATGTCAATTAAATCGTCTTTATTTCAAGACGCACCTAAAATCCGGTGGCACCACAAGATTCTGCGTATATTTTTACGTATGTTACACCCTTTGGACCTTTCAGAATAATTATTTAACAGGTCTAAAAATTAGGTGCGCTTTTTGATTGTAGAATTTTTGCGGGTTTTACAGTTATGTCAATTAAATCGTCTTTATTTCAAGACGCACCTAAAATCCGGTGGCACCACAAGATTCTGCGTATATTTTTACGTATGTTACACCCTTTGGACCTTTCAGAATAATTGTTTAACGGGTCTAAAAATTAGGTGCGCTTTTTGATTGTAGAATTTTTGCGGGTTTTACAGTTATGTCAAGTAAATCGTCTTTATTTCAAGACGCATTTAAAATCCGGTGGCACCACAAGATTCTGCGTATATTTTTACGTATGTTTCCCCCTTTGAACCTTTCAGAATAATTATTTAACAGGTCTAAAAATTAGGTGCGCTTTTTGATTGTAGAATTTTTGCCGGTTTTACAATTATATCAATTAAATCGTCTTTATTTCAAGACGCACCTAAAATCCGGTGGCACCACAAGATTCTGCGTATATTTTTACGTATGTTAAACCCTTTGGACCTTTCAAAATAATTATTTAACAGGTCTAAAAATTAGGTGCGCTTTTTGATTGTAGAATTTTTGCGGGTTTCACAGTTATGTCAATTAAATCGTCTTTATTTCAAGACGCACCTAAAATCCGGTGGCACCACAAGATTCTGCGTATATTTTTACGTATGTTACACCCTTTGGACCTTTCAGAATATTATTTAACAGGTCTAAAAATTAGGTGCGCTTTTTGATTGTAGAATTTTTGCGGGTTTTACAGTTATGTCAATTAAATCGTCTTTATTTCAAGACGCACCTAAAATCCGGTGGCACCACAAGATTCTGCGTATATTTTTACGTATGTTTCACCCTTTGGACCTTTCAGAATAATTATTTAACAGGTCTAAAAATTAGGTGCGCTTTTTGATTGTAGAATTTTTGCGGATTTTACAGTTATGTGTCAAATAAGTCGTCTTTATTTCAAGACGCACTCACAAACTGAGGGACTATTTAATACATTCAACAGAAGATTTTTGTAAGCGTTCGATAGTTTACGGTGACTTCTTTCTATTAGAATGGACTTGTTTCATTTCCAAAATGAAAATCCGTTGATGTTATAAAAACAATAAGCAATTGTTTTAAGGGAAAGTGGTGATTATGCAGGGTCAGATATTCAAAGTGTTAGCTCAAGAATTTCAACTTTATCAATGGACACTAGTCGTTCGGATCAACTAGAACTGATGCATTTTGATGATAACCTTCGCAAATACCACAAGAAGTGTGGTTTCACTGATAGATTACAGTCGCCAAATCACAGTTCTGACTACGAAGATCAAGAAGATTACGACAGTTGTAATCCGCAAATTGCCACCGTTCATGTGGTAAGTCTGAATTCTTGGTGTATTATTTGAAAATTATATTTGTTCTTTCTCGAGTTAAGGGGTCGTATTAAATTTGTTAATGAAAATAACGTACCTGTTTTCAGTCAGATGAGGGAAGAATGGGTGTAAGTAACTTAGTAGGAAGGGTAAGGGGATTGAGGGAGGACGTGCAAAAGAAAATATCCAAATTAAGGAACGAATCGTCCACGGATCAAGAGAAACGTTTCGAGCACTCATTTCCGTGTTCTGCCAGTTCAGTGGAAAGCATTCCCAGTGGTTCTGGTTCAAGTGAGTAACAAACGAATTTAGTATCTTTACATTGTAGCAATTTTGTTTTTATTTAATATTGTAATCGTATTTTAAGCACCAGATTAGAATATTAATGTCTACTCGATGTAAAACTTTTTGTGCGTAGTTTAGCCGCTGTTGTAGAAAGTTATTTTTTTACTGTAGGCACTCAGGCTTTGGTAAGGGCGGGTAGCAACCACAGCTCGATATCAGTAGAAGACATAGATTCAAGCCCTGCAGACCCTCAAATAATAGGCCGCGCTAGGGCTCTGGTAGATTACACCCCAACCCCTTATGATAAGGAAGCACTAAAATTTAAGGTGTGTAATGTTCAGCGTGACTTTTTTCAAATTAACGAACGTGTTATATAATTTTAGAAAGGTGATATTATAGATATATTATCGATGAATGCGAGCGGCCAATGGAAGGGAATTTGCCACGGTCAAAAGGGCACGTTCAAGTTCATAAACGTCGAACTAATGTCCGAGAGGTCGGTGAGAGCAAAGAGGGAGCCCAAATGGCACTATCAAATCAAAAACAAACCAAAGTCCGTCGAGGATCTTCTTCAAAGGATCGGAATGCCAGAACATATTTCAGTTTTTGTCCTGAACGGCTACGAAGATTTGGAATTGTTCAAAGAAATAGAACCTTCTGATTTAGATTATTTGGGAATTTTGAACTCGGAGCATCGTGCGAAGCTGCTGGCAGCTGTGCAACTACTTCATGACATGGATTGTAATTATTTTTGTGATAGATTGAAACCGTCATTGCAATTACATAAATTATTTCGTTCCAGCTGGAAGTGAAGGAGATGTTGCGGGTTCCAGCAGCGAAGGCGACGACCATAGCAGGATTCGTCTTCTGTGTTCTACGTCCACCGAACCATTTAGTCGTTGCCATTTTTCTAGGGAGTCCGGCAGTTATCCGGGGAAAACCCTCCACTGCCCAAAACTGCCCCCTTCGTCATCTAATCCGACACCAAAGAGCGATTTCAACAACCTGGACGCCGTGGTCGAACAGTGCAGTAACGAAATAATAGCCAGGGTACGACAGTCTCACAAAAACACGCTCAACTTGAAGGAGGAACCGTGTTATCAGCCGAACATCACGGACAATCCAATGCCAAGTTTTCTTAACGACGAGAAGATTCAACACGAAACTCTCGACCAACAAGGGATGACAAAGGGAGCACGTAAGGGCGTTCGTCTGGATGAATTCGGTGCAGCCGAAGATCAAAAACTGACGACAGTAAAATACATCGTGGGTGGGAATATAGAAATGGGTATTGGGGACACGATGGTGTCTACCGCGAATGTGATAGGAAAGGGAGGATGTTTCAGTGAAAAGTCTAGTGATTCGGGAATAAGCAGCAGCTCGATGTGTTCGACTAATACAAAAGATTCTTTAAGACAGCCCTTAGCAGTTCACGCGGACAATTTAAGTCGATTTTCTGCTTGTGCCAATAGAGCTTCGTCAAAAATGACTAAGTGACAAGGTAACTAATTAATTTATTAATTTATTATAAACGAATGCTTAGGAAACTTTTAAAAATCGAGACAAAAAGTGATATGAAAATACGCTGTATGTAGTGAATAATTTGTAAAAATGTATATTTTGTAAACTTAACTTATCGTGCTAGTCTCACATGTTAGCTGAAATGCAAAAGAAGATAATCAAAATCGATTCGGTTTTATTAAATTATTAATTATTATTATTATATAGACTGAATTATTACTTAATATTTGCGAGATTGTTTGTTGTAAATGAAGCATATCAACTGTTGTACATACATGTTTCCTTATCCTAATTGTATAAAACATGTATGTTATTCAATGGTCAAAATGGAAATTTAAAACATAAAGTTAATTTGTCTTTTATTACTATCATACTGCAATATTTGTGTTAATGATCAGCAACATTAAGAAATACCTCTTGAAAACTTTTATTCAATGTTTTGCAACCATAAAAAATGATAAAAAGAAAATATTAATCACTAATAATCAATAATTATTATTTATTACAGTTATAGAAACAAGGCCCATAAATAGTACTATTCAATATTCTGAACCATCAAAAAGCCCCCCTTAGAAAGTTCTATTTCAAGGTAAAATCAATTTTTTAGTAATTATTGAAGTTTTTTTTGTAGTAAAATACTAACTGCACGTCATTTAATATTACTAATTCATCAAAATCTTCGTTATTATAAGGTGAGTAGTTATTTATCACAGTAGTGAAAGAAACATTGTATACTGAATATCTTGAAATCATAAAAAAAATCCTAAGGAAGTTATGTTTTAGAATTAAAACAATTCGGTTTCAATTTGCTATTAGGTTGATCTTCTATATTTAAACTTCTGACAATTTTTATCAATTAACCCATTTAAAATTTACCAAAATATTCGTTGTTTATAACAAACTTATGCTTTATGGAGTCATAAGTACATAAACTCTCAACTTTTGAATTCGTGCTAGTTATAACTTTAGATGGCTCATAATTCCTCAAATAATAGATGTTCATATTTTCCTCTGTTTTATTTAAATTCTACATATTCCAGACATAATACATGAAAATATTAACATAATATTAAAACAATAGTATTCCTTATCATACATTACACAACTGTCTTGTAGAAAAATCACTTAAGTGAATTGTATTCATAACAAAAATAGAATAGTAATTTTTAATACTACTAACTCTTATCTTCTTCCTTTTCCTTTGCCTTTTCCTTTACCACCACCGCTACTTTGCCCTACATCTCCACTTGATTTAACTTGCCTTGATTTCAATTTCGGTATCATCTCTCCGATATGAAACAACAAACTTTCCCTTGAAGGGAAGTTATTATTGTAAGGTGTTCCATCGTCTGTCTTTAGTTGAACACGTATTCTCCCGCGGAACAGGGGTTCTTTGCTTCTTTCGCGGCTATAGAGCTTGTTTTCGACACCTACTTTAAGACCAGCTGCTACTAACACGTCACGTATTTCATCATGTGTTGGATTTTCTACACACTTTTCTTTTGGAATTCTTCTTCCTTGAACTCTTGTCTTTTTGCTATTTACGTACGCAGGATAAATACAAATCCATCTGGAACAAAATTTACGTTAGTTGTAGGATGTTGTTAAAATTATCAAATATGAGTACCTTTCACGGTCACTGTGTTTCTTATCTGGGCTCCACGATAAGACCTGATGAGCCATTATATAGAAAAGGGGGCCCCACTATGATTTAATACAATTTGATTACGTTTTAACCCGAGAAAAGCTAAATTTCCTCTGAATTTTGACAACTAGTTTTCTAGGTTATGTTGAATTAATTTTGGTCTGCAGGCTGGCAACCTTGTCCGTGTAACTAACAGTATAACCAACTTAAAATAATCCGTCCTTTTTGTGTATATATGTAATTAATTAATTAGTTATTTACATTTTTTAATTCATATCTGTGTTTCTAATTATCTTTTATTAACTTTATACCTTTTTAAACTCAACCCCATATATGCTAGTGAAATGTTTCATGATAAGTAGAATTATCAAATCAAATACGAGTCTTATGTTAAAGATTATTAACAAAAAGTATAATATTTTTTAATTTCCTTTTTAAATTAGTAAAATTAAAGATTTTCATGTCATCTTTTCCTTGTTTTGGTTTATAGTCAAGTTTAAATCGCTGTACAACAAATAATGTTGTTTCATGATGAAATCGTAAGGGAAATCGTGAGTTTTGTCTAATAAATGAAAATTTAGCTTTTATTTCATGATACTTGATACAAGAAGTTGGTTTTTAAACCTATACGACTTTTATATTTGAAGTTAAAAATTTATTTTATTGATGTACCATTATTATTTGAAAGCACATCGTATCTCCAAGGAATAGTTCAAAAGCTCTCCGTAATATATTCGCGAATGGCGCTAACAGTCTTTTATAATTAACATCCACTGTAGTATTCAGTATCCTACTTCGCAAATTAGGAGAATGTTTGTTTTACGGATGGTTACGGAATATCTAGCACGTTTTCATGAAAGTTGGATGGTTTTGTGATTAAATTATTTCCGAAACATTTCCTGTTTACTGAAAGAGTTACTTTTTCAATCTGTTATGTCCCATAATTTCATCCTGTAAGTTGTTTATCGTTAGTTGTAAAGATAATTTTAATTCNGAGCGAAAAATTTTCAAATTTGACCTTTTGTACCCTGTAGCTCGATAACGGTACGACTTATCGGAAAAATTCTTTCACAGACGGATGCCCCGTCTCAGCGCGAACAATATGAGCCGTATGAGGTCGCATTCGGTGTTGACGAAAAATTCAAAATTTTGTAATTTTTTTTCTTCAAAATTAAATTTTTCCCGTACACTGAGGTACGGGCCAACCGTTTGGCAATTGCGTTTTATTACAATTTCATCTTTCGGTACAATTAAGTTAAAATTAGACAAAAATTATCTCATTAGTTGTAGGTAGTTGGTTTAATTATTTATTCTGGCATACAATTTGGTTATTACGGCTTTGGTCTTCAGAATTATGTTATAAAGTTTGAGCAGGATTTATCTGACTTTTTTTGTATTTCATTCGATTTCAAGAAATAACTGTTGAACAGAAAGCTCTCGATAATAAATAACACGATTATATTATCTAGGTTTGACGGTCGCGGGAAAGTTATTTTGCCCATATTGTGTTTATTAGTGTATTCGTGTGAATACTTGTTTGCTCGACAAAGAAATACGAAATTTTATTAAGAAATTAATCATAGATGTTTAGTTCTGTGCTTTCATTTTTGTTAGACGGGTGTGGTTTTTAACTCTAGATTATTATCAACTGTATTTTGGAATTCAGAAAAACGCTAAAACGAAAAGTAGGGTAAATTACGTGAATTCGGTTGGCGCTAGAGCAGGCCGGGAATGTCATAGGTCAATGGGGTTTTTATCAAAAACTTCCCCCATGCATTGGGCTTCGAACCACCTGCGACTCGAACGCATCGGACGTCGAAGTGAGAAGCTATGAATTTTCAACTGCGGCCATGTTCCTGAGCGAAAAATTTTCAAATTTGACCTTTTGTACCCTGTAGTTCGAAAACGGTACGACTTATCGGAAAAATTCTTTCGCAAACGGATGTCCCGTCTCAGCGCGAACAATATGAGCCGTATGAGGTCACATTCGGTGTTGATGAAAAATTCAAAACTTTGTAATTTTTTTTTCTTCAAAATTAAATTTTTCCCGTACAGTGAGGTACGGGCCAACCGTTGGTGAAAGAATTTTTGCTCTATCTTTAATAGTTCGCCAGATATGTTCTCCTAAACATTTAATTCTCGATTTTAAAAATAACACTGGGCCTTTGTTATTTTGCAGATAATATAGTCATATTAACGTGTAGTTATAATCAATTTGCGCTTTGATTTGTGCTTAAACATTCGGCGTCCATCTTGTAACTGCAAATTTTTCTTGTATAATTAATTTTTGATCACACTCTGTATACGTTTCGAATAAGATATTAAAAACGTTTGTATTTGTTCAGTAGAATAATGATAAACAGCTCATCGGTTTTTTTTTCGTCCTTGTCAAGGTTAATGAAAGTGAGTAATGCTAACAAGCATGTTATTTCGTTTTATACAAGCTTAAAATAAGTTTTACTTGATTTGAACGTTTTATTTATTTCAGTAGAAAAATTAATAAGAAGAGTTATGTTTCGTTTAAGGTAAATTTTTATTAATTTTAATAAACTGAATATTGCCGACGTCATTATACCTGAATTAGAAAAGGGTATTATTACTTGGGAGAATGCATAATAATTAAGAAAACTGACAAAAACTTAGGTAAAATGCAGAATACCAAAGAATGGAAAAAGTATAAAGTTGTAATATTTTCGTTGGTTTATGCGAATCGTAAGTATCAGTTGAAATAAGGACAGAGAAGTAGGGAAAATTAAAAACAATTTGACATCTGCTTAATTATTAGAATTTGGTTTTTGCTGAACTTATTAAAAAAAATGTAACTGTGCGCTTATGTAAAATGTTCCTTTTCAATGAAACAGGTCAAAATTTCACGAGCGACTTTTTCTGTTTAGTTGTTTTGCGTATTTTTCACATTAAGTCAATTAAATTTTCTTTATAAAACTCATGTGTTTTAACTTTTGGTCAAATTTGAATTACAAGACGTGAGTTTTCTGTAAATAATGAAAATTTTTACCTTTATTTCACACTCTTCAACAAAATAATTTGTTTTCAATTATATTAGGGATTAAAGTTTGTTCCATTACTATTTGAAAGCACATCATATCTTCGGGTTATAGTTCAAAAGCTCTCCGCAAATGCTCGTCGATGGCGCCAACAGTTTTCCTAATCGCAGTTGTATGTTCGGTTTTCCACAGTTTTCAGTTAGTAGTAGAAAGTTGTATCGCGTTGTTCGCATCGCGTTACGGAAAAACTAGCCCGTTTCAGTGGAAATTACACGATTTTGCGTTTAAATTATTTCAAAAAATATGTTTGTGGTTTAAATAGCACTAAAAGGACAACATTTACACTGTTTGTCGAATAATTTCATTCGGTAAGTTCCATATTAATTAAAGCTCATTTACGTTTTATGTATTTTATTTGCAACATATTATAGGAAAATTAAAAATTGAAGACATGGGTATCAAACTTTAAAGTTTTCATTTATTGTAGCTTTCCAATTTTATACTAACGTAAATTATGTTATTATATTATTAATTAAATGTCTATTGCTGTACTAACTTGCGATTTTCAGGAAATGTATTTAAATTTGATCTCTTGCTGTAGTANAATGCTAACTAGCATGTTATTTCGTTTTATACAAGCTTAAAATAAGTTTTACTTGATTTGAACGTTTTATTTATTTCAGTAGAAAAATTAATAAGAAGAGTTATGTTTCGTTTAAGGTAAATTTTTATTAATTTTAATAAACTGAATATTGCCGACGTCATTATACCTGAATTAGAAAAGTGTATTATTAGTTGGGAAAATGCATAATGAGTTGAGAAAACTGACAAAAATTTAGGCAAAATGCAAAATGCCAACGAGTGGAAAAAGTATAAAGTTGTAATATTTTTGTTGGTTTATGCGAATCGTAAATATCAGCTGAAATAAGTACAGAGAAACAAAGAAAATTCAAAATAATTTCACATTCGTTTAATTATTACAGTTTGATTTTTCATGTGTAAGAGAAACGTTTTTCTTTTTCAAGGTTTGCTATTAATTTTGTTATATCCTAAATTGTCGAACCCAATCCGTTAAACGATTATTTGTGTTTCACGGTCGCGGGAAGGTTATTTTGCCCATATCGTGTGTATACGTGTGTGTGCTTGACGAGTATTATTGAAAGAAATAAAATCCTTTATTGAGAAATAATTTGTGTGCTTTCAATTTAGTTAGATGGGTGTGGTCGTTTCGCTGTGCGATTATTAAGTGTTTCAATTTCTGGCTAGTTATCACTGAGGACTTTTTTGCAGGTTATTATACCCTTATTTTATTTGGGAGAAATTAAGATGAGACGTATTTGTTTTAATGATCAGTAATAGGGATGTTTGATATTGGATTATTGCAGCCGTAGTCGACGCGTTTGTTAAGGACGTTAATGATTAAGTAGAGAGGCTACTGAGTAGTCGTTTGTATCTTTAAACTACAGCCAGAACTCAGGATAAATTATTAAATAAAGGGTGTATTGCGAATTAGGTACTTATGTTTTTTTTCTTCTCTTCCTGCTAGAAGGAGAAAAAGAAAGGGACGACGTAACCGTTACCACTGAGTAAGGGAATCTGAATACGGGAACGTCACCATTGGTACGTTTGTTTATTCTTTACTTTCGAATTGTAGATTTCGTATTGTTTTGAGCACCGGTTAATTTAAGTTATTTAGTGCCTGCCTAAATTTTTTTTTTCGATTTAGTATGTTTATAAGGATATTAAAATTTGATATATATATATTTATTTTTCTTCTTTTTTTTTTAATTTATCTTACAGATGAACTCATTAAAACGATGCAATTCTGTGTTTAAATAAAATGTCCCATTTTTAATGATGCGCGTTAATGTAAACGTCGGATAAATTATGAAATCGAACAAATACACTTATAGGTGTATAATAGTATCGTCGATTGTAGGTTATTAAGTAAAACATAATAACAGTTTATACTATTTTAAAAATTTTTTGGTTTTCTAGGAAAAATATTGTGAACCAGAACAAGAAAGCATCATGGCACTCCAGCAACAAAATGGTTACACAATTTTGAAGGACTTCATCCTGGACAATTTTGGGTGGACGTAACATAAAAAAGGTTAGTTTAATTTTCTATTTCTATATCTAATTATGTAAAACGGTAGG